TGCGCGTGGGGAAGATTCGAAATGGGGGTTGATATATGTTGACCGGCTTGATCGGTCTGACCCGACCCGACTCGTTGACCCGACCCGATAGTATTTTGAGAATTTTTTTGAAAAAGCTGACATTTTGGGAATTTTCTTAAAAACAGTAACATTCTAGTAATTATTTTTAAAACGATGACATTTTGGGAATTTTTTTAAAACGGTGATATTTCGGTAATTATTTTTAAATCGGTGATGTTTTAGTAATTATTTTTAAAACAATGATATTTTGGTAATTATTTTTAAAAAATGTGATATTTTTGTAATTTTCGAATGTGGACTATTGAACCCCTTTGACCATAACTTTGATCGGCTTTAAACGGCCATTAAACGACCTTTGATTTTGTTTGAGTATACCTATTCTGACATTTTTCGACGTGCCGAATCCGTTTCGCCAAATTCGAACCCGATAGCCTCCAAATCATCAGTCAAACCCGTTGACTTTGATTTTGACCAAGAATTTGAATTTTTGAAAAGTCATACCTTATGTTTTTCGACGTCCTGATTCCGATTCTGCAATCGGTTTGGTCAAATTCAGACTCGAAAGCCTTGAAATTGATAGTCAAACCCGGAAAATGCTATGTACTAAAGAGTTTTAGTTTTGAATGGTTGAGTAAGACTTGGGACTGATAAATTTTTAATGTTTGAAGGTACAAGAGACTCTCTTGATCGTTCGACAGCTCGACCCGGCTCCTCTAGATAAGTTAAACCACGTGTCAGTATTCAACCGTAAGATCTATAAATTTTATGGTTTTAGAGATTAATTACGTTACCCATTAGCAATATAGTGTTATTATGAATTAGGTTTGAAAACTGTAGGAGAGCGTAGTGAGACCAGCAATCAGTAGATCTACTATTTGAACCTATTATCGAGGTGTGATCCCTATTTATTACTGAACTATTTTATTTGTTTTAATATATGATACATTGAATTCTATGGTTACTATTTTATTGATGCACCGATTTAATGTGATAGTTTATGGATTATGACTGCTATCTGATTTTTGTTTTGAAATGGTATATGATTACCATGTTTATGGATTTATGGAATTTACGTCATGGTGCAATTGAATTTTTTGAATACGAATTTATAAAGTACAGCTCTGATCAAGCTGAAAAATTTTACGAACCTAATATGACTATTAGGTAGGCTCTGCGGCCCTAAGATGTGTTCTTAAGTAGGCCCCCACGACCCCAAAATCTAACTTGGGTAGGCTCTCAGGCCCTAAGATATTCCCTTAGGGTAACTCTTTTATGGGATTTACTGCAGTATAATTTTTATGAGATTTACTGGACTATGATTTGTTTAGTGTACCTATCATGATTTTATTGTAATGTTGGGACACAATGAGCCTAGCTCAGTTTTCGAAAATGTTTTCCCCTTTCAGATATTGTTGGTTAGATACACCTGATCGAGCACTTGGAGGATTAACATATCTCTTGAAGTATATCTTATTGTAATGTTTTATCTTTCAAGTTAACTCTATTTTGGTAACATGGGCCTTATTTTAAATGTATTGGATTTTATAATGATTACTCTTTTGCAATTTATATTGGTTTATCGTAATTTGGATTTTTAAAATATGTTTAAATTAACTTGTTATTTTTCTCATAATTATGAGTTGGTTTTTTTATATAGTATAATTTATTATAATTTCATAAATGTCATTTATAAATATGATTTTACATTGATTGAATAACGGTTTCGGAAAAATGTCTTTAAGAATCATGAATGTGATCCACTAAACTTAGTCGAAACGCATAGACCGGGTCTTGGGGGTTACATTAAGTCTTTTTTTTAACTAATAGTAATTTTAGTTTTATGAGTAAACTATACATGTGACCAATTAACTGCCTTTTTAATTTGATCATTCTTTTTTTCCAATTTTTTTAATTATACTACCTAATTCTTTAAGGGTTGTCAATTAAGCTACCAACCATTAATATTTAATGAAATAGTTGGAGTGGTTCTTAAAAAAAATTAATATAATTATAAATTCAATCCTCAATATTTATATATTTTATTAATTTAATCATAAATTTAATAATTTTTTATTCAATCATCACCGCCTAGTGGAGTATTATTTTCTTAATTTTGATTTAAGAAAATAAAATTCTAGAGAAAACTTAGGGTTCATTTGGTTCTAGGAAATATATTCTGTTTTTATTTTCTGATTTTTTAGAAAATAATTTTCGTTTTCAACTTTTTGAAGAAAACATGTTTGGTTAATATAATGGAAAACTTGAATTCAAACAAAAATACTAAAAATATATTTGGTATCTAATTTTTTAAAATAGATATAAAAAATAGTTATTAAATAATTAAATTAGATTATAATTATTAAAAACCATTACATAAATTTAACATATGAGTTATACAAATATAAAACAATAATGTTGCTAAGAAATTTCATAACACAAAATTTATTTTAGTTTATAATAAGAATATAATGTTAATACATACTAGACATTAATTAAATTTTAAAAATACACAAAAAAATGTTATAAGTAATAGCACAAAAAAGTGTCATTAACATAAAAAATATGTTTAGTGGTAACTGAGACCCTCAAACTTTTGGGAAAAACAATTAGTGTAGTCCCTGAACTTTTGTTTTGCACCATATGTGATCGTCAAACTTAGAAAAAAATAATCTAACCCTTTGAACAACGGAATCAAGTGTTGATTGTCACGATGTTTACATGAGAGTTCTTTAACTTACATGGAAATCTCCAATATTGATGTGATAGTTCACAATATTGTTGTGACAATACTCCATGGACGATGATGTGGTAGATGAACTTAAGTGATTATTTTAGAAAGTTGTAAGACTTATTAATTTTTTAAAAATTAAAAATATAAAATATAAACAACTATTAAGATATTCAATAAATTAAATAAAAATAAAAAAAAATCAAATTATTGAAAAATATAATTCAAGGTTTATATTGAATGTAAAAAAAATTAGGGATCATATTGACTTTTTTACAAAAGTGTGAGGGTTTTAGATACCATTAAATCAAAAAATTATTGTTAGAATGATTTAAACATGTGTAAGTTAAGTTAAAAATCTAGATATAATGTTTCCTTATTTTTTGAATTTCCAAAAAACTTTTAATGAAAATACTGAAAACATATTTTTTATATTTTCACTTATTTTTGTTTTCATTTTCCATAAATCATTTTCCAATTAACAACCAATCACATTTTTTCAACATTTTTTATGAAAATAAAAATATCATATATTTTCTAAAACCAAACTGTCGGTTAGTTTGTCTCAACCATTACACCAACCATTTTACTTAGTTACAAATTATAGAAGGCTTTATATAAAAGATTAAGTCTGCGCCATTTATTATAATGGCTTGGAGCTTGTTGGTTTCAAATGGCAGAAAAATGAAGTGGTGCTTGCCCCTAATTGGGGTGATGCATCTTGAGTTTTGTTGAGTTTGCTGGGATTGGTTGTTGCTGATCTTGACCCGTCTGTTACTGTAACATGTTCGTTTCGACTTGGTTTCTTTTTCAAGGTCAGGCCTTAATTCTTCCATTTTGCTTTTGCCTTATGTTTCAGCCATCTTTCTGTCTATTTTTGTACCTCTAAAATTTCATTGTGCACCTTTTGGTTTAATTTAGGGATAATAATAAAATTAGTTACTAATGTTTGACAAAATAATTACCTTTTAAAGCACTTTCGCCCCTCAACATTTTATTTTAGGGCAAAAATTAACGATGATATTGTGTTATCCCCATAAGGTAAATGACATATCGTTATTGAAAAAATTGAAAAGAAATCGACACGTCAATAATTTTGTATATTTTTAATGATAGTTGATCAAAACGGAGCCAAAATGAAATATTAAGTATAACTTTAAAAATAAAAATAGTTGGGTAACCAAAACATAACTAAAAAACCAGATGAGTGATTAAATACATAATTTACAATAAAAAAATTAAAAATTTGAGACATTTCAAAATATTCAAAATTTTAGGTGTGATGAAAATCTCAAAAAAGAAAAATAATTCAGGGGCACAATTAAAATTTTAAAGATTTTTAAAGGACTTGATATAAATAAAAGTTTGGCCCTCATTACCGTCTCTAAATTAATACGATCTATATCACTATAATTTTTCATATTTCTTGTGGCAGAGCACACAGCAGTGGTTCATTGTATTTACTATTTAGATTATTATAATTTCAACATTATTTTCTTTTTAATGAAACAATAGCACAATAATCAAATAGAAAAACAGATGACATACATGCCTTGTTACAATTTATGTTGTACCTAAACAAACTACAAGTGCTTAAACATAATGAAAAAGCAGATATGAAACACAAAGGTCATGAGTCATTATTGCCAAACCAGATACATGCATGCTACTATATACAGACTTGAGAAGTTGTCACCTTTCTGCTTCATAAACTTCAGCAGAATATCATTCAAGTTGCAAGGAATAACGGCATTCCCAATGGACAGTAAAGTTGCATTCAGATTCTTTGCATTTGAGGGCCTTTCCGTTGCAAACCTCACCACACACCTTACATGGAGGACAATTCCAGATGTTTTTCACAATAGTTAAAGGATGTCGATGTCCATGATAAGATCTAAGTTGGTTTCCAAGCTTCATATATGGGATATCCCCATGACCACATGAGGAATGAAGTGAATTATCACAATCATCGCAATAGTAAAACCAGTCAATTGGTCGCCTTTCACACTCACAAAGATCACAGTAAAATTGAGAAGGATCAGAGTCATCAGAATAACTCAGAACAAGAGCATGTTTGTCATACTTGTACCAAGCAGTGAGCGGTCGTGTTGCACAATATATATCTAGACTGAAATCATAATGCTTCATACATCTATATGCAATATTTTCCCAGGAGTATAAATTGAGACAACCACTACAACTCCCTTCAAAGTTGTGGACAAGAAAGATGAATGCTCATGACTTGGATGCTTCAAGGTGTCTGATAATAACATACATCGAATGTCAAACTTGATTTTATGACGTAGGCAACCTTTATGATAGCATTGGTAGCTAAATCCTTGGTATCGACAATTTCAAGCATTGCAATACGAATATTCATCCCTTCCATGTGAGTTTGTAAGCGTAAGCAAGTGCTTGTGGAATGGGTGTTGCATTGTTCTAGGTAATTCCGCACAATCTTTATGGAGAAAAAACTTGCATTGATCACAACTGTAAAAAGGAGTTGAGATAGGCAACATGCATCCATCACATTGGTTGTCATCATTGATCTCACCCGTAAAAGTGAGAGTTAAATTGTGATCATGGTAAGCATGTTTAATCTCACTTGCAACCATTTGCTCTCCTATACTTATTTGTTCAACAACATCAGTAATTAAGATAGGAAATTCATGCAGTGCTTCGATGGAGCCCTCATTGTAATCTTCCGAGATAATAGTTCTATCCCAAATTGCTTTATTAGTTGCACAATTTGAATGAGCAATATAATTGCAATTAGAAGCAGAACAAAAGTAATTGCCATACCTCGTATCAACTTCTCCATAACAAATTCTGCACGTCCAATGTAGATCTTCATCTTGTTGAAAAGGATACGAAAGGGAAAGCACATGAAGATGTCGAGTTAGCATGATCTTGCGTGGCAATGAGATGCACTTCTTATGGACAAGAAGGTCACATGTAGCACAGAGATAAGGGGAGTGATCTCCAGTAGTGCCACAAAAGTCACAAATAAATGACATTTGTCTTGATATAAGACTCCATGGGTGCTCATGACTTGCATGGGTGATTGTTCGCGGAGAGGGAAAATCTTCAATTGAAAGATCAAAGTGGCAAAGAGAGCAAGAATAAACAAATCCACTCCATTGAGTTTTACATAAACAGCAACTGCATTCCTCAGGATGAAGTGGTCGCTTTGGCAAGAGTGTAAGAGGATGCTTACGATCATAGGGATGAATAATTTCAAGGGATAGTTCACCACATTCCTAATGAAGGTTAAAGTACGATGGGTAGGAACAATCGGGGCAGTGGTAAATTGGACCAGATAATGATTTATTACATCCGGAACAATCATATTTGACATGATCGTCATGGTTTTGAATGAAGAGCAAGGGGGTGAGGATGCAAAGAATTAGGAAAATTTGCAGCCATGGATGATTTAAGCAAAGCACAGTTGATGTCCAGATTAAAACTACAAGTAGCACAATGATAAACAATTCCCCGAAATGTCGCACAACAAAAATCACACACGTATTTACCATCACCATAATGTGATTTTGGGGAGAAAGTGAGAGGGTGTTGGGGGTGGAAAGGATGGTTAACAGGGGGAGTAAATCTAACTCGGTGCATCCCTTATGAAGATAAAACTTACATTCATTGCAGCCGTCGCTCCACCCCTCAACAGCTTTCTCACATACAAAGCAATCTTCTTCTTCTTCACTTGTAACAATCCGATCTCGGATGAATGCCAAAGGATGCTCATGGCCCATATGTTCAAGCTCCATCTGTCTCTCTTTCTTGTTCTCAGACTCCATGGGGGGATCCAGTGAAAGAAAAATGAAATTGTTTCACTTTAGCGATGAACGGCGGTGAAAGTGAGATATGGAAAGATGGGAGTGTTAGGGCAAACACTTAAGTGAAGGCTGATTCCACGAGATAATGTTCTCGATTTTTTTTTCACGAGATAATGCTTTGGACATATTATTTGTTGAGATAGGGTTAATTCTACAGTGACCAAAGAGGTCGCCATGCACGCCCAACGACCAAAGAGGTCACCATGCACGCCCAACGACCAAGGAGGTCGCCATGCACTCGGGGCGACCAAGGAGCGGGAGCTGCATGGTGTGCATGGGGGGGAGATCGGTGCATGCACGCATGGGGGGAGATCGGTGCATGCATGGGGAGATCGTGCATGCTCGGGGAGATCGGTTCATGCATGGGGAGATCGTGCATGCATGGGGAGTGTGTAGGTAGCCATGGAGTCCCGGCGACATGGTAGGTCGCCATGGAGTCCCGGCGACCAAGCTGTGGAGTCCTGCATGCCCAAACTTTAACCCTATCCCTCATCTAACCCTATCCCTCATCATGCATCCATAGCTGGGAGATTCCTGCATCGCGACCAAGCTTTAACCCTATCACTCATGCATGCGTTGCATCCATAGCTGGGAGATTCCTGCATCCGTAGCTGCATGCGTTGCATCCATAGCTGCATGATTGCAGCGTTAATTTAGCTGTTAAATGCAGCAAATATTGTTGTTCAATTGAAGACTTTCAATGCTCAATAGTTATACGATTCAATCCTAATATTATTTTCTTCAATAGTCAAATTTAATGACTCTGTACAACGATTTTTTCCTTTATATAAATGATATGGGGTTTAGGGTAGAAGCAGAACCAGGAGCATAAGCATAAGCACATATAAACTTTGCCGAGAGAAAGAAAATGAAGAAGAAGAAAATAAGATAAAGGATCAAACATAGTTCGTGAGGTAATTTTTTATTGTTTAATTTAGTTTATTATATGAAATTATTAGTTTGTTAGTTTAGGGTTTAGGGTAAAACTAAAATCTAGTTAATTAGTTTGTTAGTATAAATTATTAGTTTGTTAGTTTAAGTTATATATTATATTATATAAAAAATTAGTTTATTAGTTTATTAGTTTAAGTTATTAAATATAAAAAAATATTAATTAATTTGTTAGTGTCTTTAAACGTATATTAGGTTGTTCTTTGAAGTTGAAGTTTTATTATAAAAAAATTAATTAGTGCTTAATTAGTGTGTTATTTTAACTAAGTTATATTATAATAAAGAAATAGTTTATTAGTTTAAGTTATATTATAATATATTAGATTATATAAAATTAATTTGTGGGAGCTATTGATGTTTAAATAAATTAAACGGTTTACACATACAGGGCATTATTCCACAACATTTGCCCATGTTCAAATTGATTCGAAGAAAGAAACAAAGAAGGAAAAGAAAGGAAAGGAGGAAGGCATAAATATGTGAGTAATTTATTATGTTTTGTTGTCCATTTTTTTGTTGTTGTGTATGTGTAAATTAGTTAGTTAGTAAGTTTATATTAGATTATATAAACTAATTTGTGCGAGATAATTTCTGTTTAAAAAAAATATTGTGTTTAAAAATACTTAGTGTTGTTTTAAAAAAATATTTTGTTTAATTTATATTGTATGTATAAATTAGTAAGGAGTAAAAATTAATTGAATGAAATAATCCGGCCAACGTATTATCACGATATTTTGCCTAACAAATTTGTTTGATATTTTTAAAAAATAAAAAATATTATCAAACTAATCATGATTATTAGTAATAATTACTAAATGATTAGTATCAAATCTAAATCATTAAATATTTATAATAAATAATTATTAGTAATCATGACTAAATCATATTATTATTAAATCATTAAATATCAAATCATTAGATTAATAATAATTATTAAATCATTATTAGTAATATTAGTAATCAATCAATTAATCAAGTTAAATAACAAATTTTATTTGATCATTAATATAATAGTATATTATATTATATTTAATGATTTAATGTTTTATGAAATTATCTTATCTAATATTTTAATCTAAATTAATTTATTTTTTTATTTGTAGAGAAAATGAGCAACAACTTTTTCACGATTGTCCATTATAATGGACAGATTATGGAAAATGAGGTCGGAGTAGTTTTTCAGTCTGAAAAACCAATAAATATGATGTTCAAAAAAGACATCACATTTATAGAAATGAAGCATAAGATAGAAAGAAAAATTCGAGCTGCAGTTGATGGCTTGAGGTATAGGTTTATGATATACCCCAACCCAGTCAGATATGCTACAGTTCCACTTGAAGAAGATGATGATATTGGAACCATGGTTGGATTACATGAGTCAACCAATATAGCAGTTATTGAGTTATTTGTTGATGTGCGTAACATATGTGATGTTTCTGGGTCATCAAGAGGTGTGGCTCAAAATCCATCTGAAATGGCTTTATATAGTCAGTTTGAGGAGCCGACATACATGTTCCCGAATAGTTTTATGGCACTATTGGAAAGTGTAAATGAAGTCGGGGGGACATCTGCAACAGCAGAGTATGAGATGAGAAACATACCGGAATTGGTTGTTGATATTGACGCTGAAAATCGATGGGGAGAAATTCACGATGATTCAAGCGAAGATGAAGAAATCGAAGAACCCGTTTTGGGCGACGAAGAAAATATTTTTGGTGGAAGTGTAATTGATGAAGTTCCAGCACTGTATGAAGCTACTCCTCACATGTACGAGATAGACTATGATGCGATGAGGGCACCTGAATTCCCAGACATGCCACATTTACCTCCGTACCAAATGACTGAATCATTCGATAATTATGGTGAATTTTCAGTTGGGGTGCAATTCAGAGGAAAAACTGAAGCTACGCTGGTGATTAAAGAGTACTGCATCAAATGCCATGTTGATGTCCATGTTATAGAGTCCAACCAGAAAACCCTATACGCGAAGTGTGTAAAATATGGCCCAGAGTGCAAGTGGAAGATCAGAGTGTCGAAAAATCAAAGGCACGATGTTTGGGTTATCACGAGGTACAATGGTCCGCACACATGTTTGCGAAACTCCATCGAACAAGACCACCGACTATTGGACTCTGATGTAATATGTGAATACGTGAAGGCAATGGTTGAAAAGGATCCAAGGATATCTTGTTCAGTGTTAGCTGCATCTATTCGAAGCCAATTTGGATATCAAGTAAAATATGGCAAGGTGTGGAATGCAAAGATGAAGGCAATGAAGCTGACGTATGGAGATTGGATACATCGTACAATGAGCTACCACATTTGCTACAATCAATGAAGCGATTTATCCCAGGAACCATAGTGAAGTCTCAAACCATGCCCGCATATGACGAAGAAGGTCAACTTCTGCTAGGGAAGAAAATATTTCATAGACTATTTTGGGCATTCAAGGCATGTATTGAAGGATTTTCATTTTGCAAACGTATGATCCAAGTATATAGTACGTGGTTGTATGGTCAATATAGGCATGTACTTTTGATGGCAGTTGCTCAAGATGGTGAGCGAAATATCTTCCCAATTGCATTCGCCATTGTTGAGGGAGAGACAACAAAGGCTTGGGATTTCTTTCTGACCAATCTACGTCAATATATCGTTCGTGAAGATGGAGTTTGCTTGATATGCGATAGAGGAACGGGTATTTTGGCGGCAATTGAACGACCAGGAAGTCGTTGGATACCTCCGTATGCATATCCGACATTTTGTATCCGTCATATTGGCAAGAATAGTATCAACCAGTTTCATAACGCACATATTCGTAGCGAGATAGTCACCATGGGTAAGTTTTATTTACAATATTTGTTCATTTTTTACGTGGTTTTTTTAATTGCGGTTTAACAAAATATATTATGGAACAGGATACGAACTACGTCGACCAAATTTTGATAAGAGATTGGAGAATTTGAAGGTATTTTACGATGATCAGTGTGTTTGGAAGTGGGCTTCAAAAATACCGCGGGAAAAATGGTCGCAAGCATACGATGAAGGTCGGAGATATGGACATATGACCACAAACCTTGCTGAGGCCATTAATTCGGTACTAAAAGGTACACGCCATCTCCCAATAGCGAGTGTGGTGAAAGAGACGTACTTTAGATTGGCTAAAGTTTGGTCGGACAAAGGTAAGGAAATTGGGAGTCTCATAAATAGAGGTCAAACTTGGGCTCCTACAGTGGTGGAATCAATGGAAGCAAATGAGCGATTGGCAACATCAATGGTTGTTCATAATTTCGATCGAGTTGGTCATACTTTTGTCGTGTCGTGCATACGTCGTAACGTCGGATGAGAAGACCAAACATTTAGAGTTGATTTACGACACAAATGGTGTGATTGTGGTCATTTTCAGGCATGGAAATATCCATGTGCTCATGCAGTCGCTGCATGTATGTATTCTGGTGTACGCGCATACACTTATGTTGATGAATGCTTCCACCTACGTAGGATATTAAATGTCTACAGCTATGCGTTCAGACAGATCCCGAATGAATCATATTGACCCAAAAAAGATCATGATGAATGGCTACCAAATCCAATGCTTCGCAGAAGTCCGAAGGGTCGACCTGAGTCCACTCGAATTCATACCAGTATGGATTTCCATGCTAGAGAGAGAGGTCAAGCAAAGAGATGCGGATTATGTAGGGGTGAAGGCCATTCAAAAAACAATTGTCCTAATTTACCAAGATATAGGCCTCATCATTAGTAATCATATATGTATTTCTATGTATTTATCCGGATTATGTGTGGTTCAATTAATGCCATTTTCATTACATAACTAATATTGTCCCAGCATACATACCAGAGTTTGTGCAGTCTGAGGTACCCATCTATTATTAATATTTAATGATTTGATAGTAATGATTAGTAATAATAAAATTATTATTAATATTTAATTATTTGATAATAATGATTAGTAATTATTAATAATAATGAAATTATAATAATAATGATTTACT